TTCAAATAACTTAAGGGCTGTCAATCTATTAAACTTGCCAGTACCGAGAAAACAAGTAACGCTGCAGGTCTTTGGGAAGTCTCTGGGGTCTTCAGGTACTTACAGTGAACGTCCTGTGACAATGCCAACTGTCACATCCGTTCAGAAGATTTAATTGTTCCCTACTAGCGAATATTAGTATTCGTTAATGATGGTTGTTATTAGCGTGTAATAAAAATTGTTAGCTTGTAACAATAATTTGAAAATTATATCGCCAATTGTTTTAGTTTGTTTGGGATGTCTTTATCTTTCAATTATACTTTTCACTTTCTATTAATTAATCCTATAATCTTGATGTGCGGAGCCGTTTCTGCGCGTGAGTATCGTGCGCTGTGATGTTCTGTGCGTAAACGACATGCGCTAAATAGTCGGCGCGGAAATGTCGGCCTATCAATAAAGAATATAGCAAGGGTTCTGAATGCATTAATTCAATATTGCAACAGTATGGTCAAATACTTGCCTACATCGATCTAGAAATTTCTGTTGGTACACTAGCGTTCTATGCCAAAATAAAAAAAGTATTTGAAGAGTAAAACTTTTGTGTAATAACAACCTTTTTAGCTTCTGTTACACTAAAAACACGGACTTTAACGCGTTATTAACGCAACAAAATAACCTCATGGGACTAAATCCATTTCATACACCAAAGAAGACCTTGTACACACACAAAGTGTTCTAATGATTCCAAGTGTTGAAGAATGGAAATAGCTTTATAAATAATTTTACAAAAGCAGTAGAAAATAGCGACTTTAGCAATGACTAAAAAACTACTATATTTCTAATAATTCAAACAATCATGATTCGACGTTTCTTGCACGTATTATAGTAATTCACCGTCGAAAGAGTATATATTGTCCAGATAGAAACTTAATATTCATTTAAAGCACCGTCATCTCTAGTACGGTTACACACTATTTGCTAGTTAGAATTTTAACATCTGACGTATGCTAAAATAAACATAGTTGATGCATTATATGTCTTAGTTTTTTATCGTCAAACGTGTTACTTTTACTTAGCTAATAAAATTCTTTCTTGACATTTAAAATTACGTGGATCGTAGTACGATTGGCACCAATCATCTCTACGTAGCATCACTGGTGATGTTTCTGACGAATTTTGTAAAACAGCACGAAAATGATAATGATCGACAAGACGTATAGCTTCAACAGCATATAGTTGTGCTACATTCGGATCTGTAAATGCTAATAAATTATCGTTATTTTGTTCTTCACCTCCGGCAGCTAAATTCGATGAACCAGTGAACAATTGTGGATTTTTATCATTAAAGTCAATAATAATAAATTTATCATGTATAACTTGTCCCATACCACCGCTCCATTCTTTTACAAATGGTTGTGGAACATGTTTAGATAAGAAACTAAATGGAACAATGATACCATTTGAACTACCTGGCGGAAATACATTAACATCTCCACCTTCGGATTGTGTAACACCATAAGTAAAAATAGTTTTTCGCTGGTGAAGATTTTTTATTGCGTCCATTACAGGTCCTGTACCAGATA